CGGTGGCCATACCTGCAGTGGCGGTACTTACATGGCGCCATAGATGGACTTCACGCCAGCGACCTGCATCAGAGACACGCCGGCAGCAGTTAGTACACGGCGGGAGTTACCTGCAGGTGAGACAGCCAGGAGGGCGACATCTTCTTCTTGCTGCTCTCGCCCTCCATCTCCATCTCTTCTTCTTCGTCATCGTCTTCTTCTTCTTCTTCTTCTTCTTCTTCTTCTTCTTTGAGAGAGAGAGAGAGAGAGAGAGAGAGAGAGAGAGAGAGAGAGAGAGAGAGAGAGAAAGAGAGATTACAGCCAGAGGTTCCATTGGGCCATGAGGCCCATGATCTGATTCAACATTTTTGTGGCAGACATTGATTGGACATTCGGCAGGGAGACTATTTTTGGACTTCGCTATCACGATCTTGGTCTTCTCCCTCATCTCCATCTTTGTCTCGCCTCTCCCCCATCTCCTCATCCGTGGCATCTCCCCATGTGCGTGTTCAAGGAGGGACCTTTCTCCTACATATGCGGTCCCTCCCCTCTCTCTCACATGCGTGGTATATAATGGGGTGTCCCGTCAGTATCTGACAGGTCAGGTCATATCTTGAGTCTTCCGTTGCACTACGTTGTGCTATTTTCGTACGTATCTGGATGTACATTGCTTGTTGATGCTTTGCTGACGCTGCATTGTCCATTCGAGTGAGCATGTATCAGTTGGTAGGGAGCTGCGCTAGTGAATTAGGACATTCCAACCCGACGCACGAATAGGAAAATTGATTGATTGATTGATTGATTGATTGATTGATTGATTGATTGGTTGGTTGATTGGTTGATTGGTTGATCGATTGATTAACTGATCGATTGATTGGTTGATTGATCGATTGATTGATTGATTGTTTCATTAGGATAACCTAATTGATTTTCATTCGCGATTTCTGCCTGCTGTCAAAATTCCGAATTTTTTTCTTTTCTGAATTTCGGAATCCTCTCTTCCGCTCAAATTCGTTTTTTTGTAAATTCGGAATTGCGCAGTAATCAGTAACTGAAAATCTCGAATTTTTTTCTGAAAGCAAAGTTCGAACTTTTCAAATTTTGATAAGTGGCTCCTTATCTGGGTGATCAAGGTGACCCCATGGGGATGGGGAAGTGCTAGTTTACCACTCTCTCCCCTCCCACCCACCCCATCTACGTTGCTTCATGCTCTTCTCCCCTCTTTCCCCATCTGTCTTTTTCTTCTCTATTGCTGCAGCATTGGTGAGTTGCCACGTCAGCAGGCCATGTCAGCGACACATCAGTAGACAGTCGTGCCACGTCGGCAATCAATCAGAGCCACATCAGCACCAGCTAGTGCCACGCCAGCCACTGCCAACCGCTCCTGCAGCAGATGCCAGCAGTCACCCAATCACAGATGGGCGACATGAAGCAAAAGCAAGGGGAAACTGAGGAGGCCTATGAGGCCCGTGTTGGACCAACTAGCGGAGTGGAAGAAACGAGCAGAGGCGGCTACTACCGCAAGGAAAAAGGAGGAGGAGGCAGAGGAACAGCGTCGCCTCACTGAGGAACAGCGACAGGCGGACGCCGAAGCAGCAAAGAGGCAGATGAGAAACGACAATAACGTCGAGACGCACTTTTTTGTGAGGAGGATGACATAGAAATCTAGCCGGTGAATGGGAGGCGGCTGCAGAAGGCAAGGAGGCCCCCCGAGGCTGTGTGCGGCAATGCAAACGCATACGCACATGTGACCGATCTGGTCTCGACATGCGCAGCCCAGCAAGAGGACATCCTTGGCCTAGACACGCTGCTCAAGCAGCTGGCCACGCTGGTCAAGCAGCAGGCTCAGACAATTGCCAACCTGCTCGACCGCGTGCATAGGCTGGAACAACAGCCTGCAGCAGCCACGCCCGCCGACCCCTCGAACTTGGCTGATTGCGTAAGCGTATTGGAGGTGGACATAGGCGTCATGAAATACACAATGAAGCAGCAGCACGCAACCAACCAACAGTTGGATCAGCAGATTCGTGCAGCCACACTCGGTTCAGCCTTGACGCCTCCCAGACGCATGCCCAAGCTGGATGACATTCCGGTCTGCTACGACGCTTCAAAGACCAATTCACTTCCATGGCGGAAGCAGTTTGAGCTGAGGTTGCACATGTACAAGGTGCGCAACTGCAACCAGCATGCCTGCCTTTACCATCGGGCGGGCGGCGCGTATCAAGCATGGCTTGACAATCTCTTATACACATACAAAGTCAACATCTCCGAGCTGCACACGAAGATCACTTGGGCTGATCTCACGGCAGAGCTCCAGGGGATGGAAAAACTGCAGAAGTTCCATCAGAACACCCTGCTGAGCTTGGATTGGATCGCCAAGTACCAACGCTTGGCATCCACGACCAACTCGCCAATCAGCTTCACAGGCGTCAAACACTACTGCATCACGAGGTCGTGTCCGGCATTGCAAAATGCGCTGAAGCAAGTCGCGGAGACACTCACCTCAAGTGAGTTATTATTCAACAAGGCCTCGCAGATCATCGTGACAAACACGGAAGCCTGCAATGCTGGCCGTTCATCTTCTGCAGGCCCGAGTAGAGATCAGCATCGACCTAAGCTGGCCGTGGTCACAGCAACAATGCCGACCATCTATAGTCCGGTCCAAAAATTTTCAAGCGCAAACTTTGGCGATTTTTCACGCTCATAAGAATTGGCAAAAAAATATGAAAACTTGAGATCCTGAATATTAGGTGGCGATCTTTCCAGGAAAAATATCAAAAAAATGAAAAGAAAAAAAAAAATATCATGAAATAAATGTCGCGCGTTTTGTCGCATTTTCCATTTTTGCCACTCGACCACGTCTGGGCCAATGAGAAAACTACCCCAACTTTCGCGATTTTTTGCGCTCAGAAGGATTTGCAAGGAATATGAGTGGGAACGATATACAAAAAGCCAAGTTGCGAAATCACACAAATGTCTAAGTACTAAGTAGTCGCGTCCAAGCAGAGAGTACAAATGCACCAAGGTTCCATCCATATAAGAGCAATACAATGAAGTAATGAGCCAATGTTCAAGCCCTCAGGCCACACCAACACAGTATCCAAAGTTGCTCCTCTCTGTCTGGCGCCCAACGCCCAGCCTACACTACTCGACTATCCTACCTACATCAGCATTCTCGCAACACCTCACTTCGACTCTCGAAGACCAGTGTACATGACGTCAACACCATAGCTGACCTCTCCATGCACCAGGTACGTATCTCTTATCCCCTCATCAGACCTTGTCCACCCACACTCGCCTCCTTTCTGAAGACCACCTATCACCTTCTCACCCCCTAGCTGATATGCCTGGGATCTCCATAGAACACGTATTGGCACTTGTCCATGCGATCCTGACAAACAAAACGTTCTAAGCCTAGAGGTTCTCAGAGTCTGCCTTCAGGCCGACCTGGGTGCAATTCACCCCTTGGCCGCCTTGCCCTCAACCACCTAAGGCCTACCAACCTCTGCCATGGCCTCATCCTTCTCCTTGGGGTATTCCTCCGGCCTCGACAGCAGCGTATGAACTCCCCCTCTCTTCACTACTGTCCTCTTCCTCAAGTCCCCATTCTATGTTAGTATAGGGGACTTATTTGGCACCACCTTCTTCCATTGTTAGTATGAGACTATCTTTGGCCTTAACTTGGCCAGAGATGGTTTGACACTTCCACTTTTTTCCTTTAGCTAAGTCCTTGTGCCAAAAAGTGGTAAATGGTATGGACTAGGTGTCATCCCAAACTGCTACCTCTTGTTAAACAAGTGCCCCTGCAATTGCCCGGGCAACGCACGACAGAAGGGCTCTAGCTGCGCTTCTGTAACTCTATAGCCAGGCACAACAATCAATTCGTCCATAGCGGCTTTCGATGCATGCACTCTTCCAAGGTTGCGTATGGATCACTTGGAGTTTGTCGGACACCTTCTATCCTCTAGTGACGTCCGCAAAATGTTCTCATCGCGCAGCAACGAAATCGTTGAGGTTTGTAATGGCAGAATAAGCGACCATGTCATTTTCGCAACGGGCGGCTCATGCGAGAGACCTGACGAAACTAGTTGCTTCGCCACTCAAGGCCTGAAAGGCTATCGGGACATGGTCATCAGAAGGCACGTAATGTAAATACAAATACGATATAATACTAGCCTCCCAATTGTCAAAGTCCTCATCTCTTCTCCCACTATAGGACTCAGGGAAGCGGACTTTGACTCTCTCGCGGTGGGGTTGTGATTCTTCCTCCTTGGAAACTGGCAACTTGACACCCTCAATCAAACTGGTGTAAAACTTCTCTGTTCTACCGATTGCGGTCTGCATTTCGTTTACGAGATGAATCGTCATCTCCTGGGCAAAGTCGCAGAACCCGGCTTGTATGGATTCAAGTGCTATATCATGCCAAAACGGAGGCCATACCATCAAACAGAGTTGTCCAGTAAACCGTAGGCAAGGAGGGAGAAGAGGACAACAAACAAGGGTTGTGACAAACTGTTTCGTCGAAGTTTCACCGACTCATCAGGAGGTTGAACCCTCAACAATCTGCAGAATCCCTAATTGATTGCACTGTAAGTGATAATCCATCTTAACCCCGGTTGTGGTTAAACATCAACGACTGCCCGGCACCAACGACTGCCCTCAAGGTACCTGTGACGAAAATTGAAGCAGACTATCACTCACCCACACCTGATAGAGCTCTACAAACTGACGGTTCACACCCCATTACAAGCCAGCAAAACAACCATGAAAGAAAGAAAGGTCTGCCATAGCCAAAAAATACACTCCAGACATGTCGCTAGCGCTAGAGCACAACATGGTCGCGTAGTGACGGCCCCGAGCACTGCCGCTCGACCTGACCAGAGAAAGTCGTAGCAAGGTGCTAGCAAAGTCGTGGTATATGTATATATGTTTGACGATATATATCGTCATATATATATATCGTCACAAATAGAACTGCCCGGTAAACCGTAGGCAGAGAGAGAGAAGAGGACAACAAACAAGGGGCTGTGACATATATATATATATATATATATCGTCACAAATAGAGCTGCCCGGTAAACCGTAGGCAGAGAGAGAGAAGTATATATATCGTCAAACAAAGCTGCCCTATAAACCATCGGCAGATAGGGAGAAGACGACAACCAACGAGGGGCAAGTTGAGGGGCAAGCTGTTTCGTCGGAGTTTCACCGACTCATCAGGAAGTTGAACCCTGAACAGTTTGCAAAATCCCCTAGCTGATTACACTGTAAGTGATAATCCACCTTAACCTCCGTTGTGGTTAAGCATCAATGACTGCCCGACAACTGATACCCTGAAGTGGCCGCTTAAACTACCTGTGACGAAAATCAAAGCAGACTATCACTCACCCACACCAGATGTAAAACTCTACAGACTGTCAGTTCACACCCCATGCAAAACACCCACGAAACAAAGAAAGGTCTGTCAAAGCCAGAAAATCACTCCAAACACGCCGCTGGCACTAGAGGCACAACATGGCCGCATAGTGACAGCCCCGACCACTGCCGCTCGAACTGACCGGAGAAAACCATAGCAGGGTGCTAGCAAAGTCGTGGTATATATCGTCAAACAGAGCTGCCCGGTAAACCATAGGCAGAGAGGGAGAAGAGGACAACAAACGAGGGATTGTGACAGACTGTTTCGTCGGAGTTTCACTAACTCATCAAGAGGCTGAACCCTCAACAGTCTGCAGAATCCCCTAACTGATTACAGTGTAAGTGATAATCCACCTTAACCCCAGTTGTGATAAGCATCAATGACTTCCCGACAACTGATACCCTGAGGTGGGCACCAACCATTGCCCTCAAGGTACCTGTGATGAAAATCAAAGCAGACTATCACTATATATGAAACTCCGACGAAACAGTTAGTCACAGCCCCTCGTTTGTTGTCCTCTTCTCT